AAAAAAAAGAATGATCTTTTATGCAGTTCTATGTCATTCTTGAACTTGATTCAAGTTTTCTCAGGCAACCCTCTGTCATTGTACTTTCCATGCTATGCTGTGGTTTGATCATATTCTCTCCAATATTCATACAGAAAATTTCTGATGCAGTAGGATTACAAAGTATGGCCACTGGAAGGTGATTAAGTCACTGGGGCTCTGCCCTAGTTAATGGAATTAGGAACCTTCCTGATTATAAGAGCAGTCCAAGTTGAATGGAGTGCACTCTTAGTTTTTTGCCTTCCATGATGTGAGGACACAGCATTCATCCCCACTCCTGGAAGACTTAGCAACAAGACCCTGTCTTGAAACAAGAAAATGAGGCCCTTAGCAGACAACCAACTTACTGGCACCTTTGTCTTGTACATCCTGGTTTGTATAACTGTGAGAAAGAAATTTGTTCTTTATAATTACCTAACGTATTTTGTTACAGCAGCACAAACTAATAGAAATTGGTATCAGAAGTAGGGTGTTGTTATAATTATTAAGTAAAAATATAGTAGACATGGCTTTGGAAATCGGTAGTGGGTACATATTGATTGGCACAGTTTTGAAGTGAATTCTGGAAAAAGCCTGTTTTGCCATTAGCAGAGCATTAAAGGCAAGTCTGGTGAGGGCTCAGAGGAGGAGAGCTTTAGTGAATACCTGTTTTGTAGACAATCTAAGTGGTTGCAATCAGAGTGTTTTTAGAAATATGGACAATACAGGCAAGTCTGAAGAGGTGTCATGAAAATGAGGAATGTCTTACTGGAAACTAGGAAAGCCCATCTTGGTAACAAAGTAGCAGAAAATTTTTCTGGATTATGTCCATGTCTTAGTACTTTGTGGAAGGAAGAATTTAAGAGTGATAAACCAAGATATTTGGCAAAAAAAACCCTCAAAGCAAATTGTTCAGGTTGCTGCATGGCTTCTTAACTGTTTACAGTAAAATGGGAGAAGAGAGAAGTTAGTTGAAAACAATTTGTAATCAAAGCCCAATGTAAAAGATTTGGAAAATTCTCAGCCTGGCCATATGAAGAATTAAAAGTGTATTTAGGAGAGGGAGAGCTGCAGGCACTGTGAGAACGTCTATGTGACGTGATCCCAACAAAACCATTGGGGCAGGGATCCCCAGGATGTTGAGACCCAACCCCTACTCCAGGATGTCCAGAAGGTGGGACATGGAGTCAAAGAAGATTATTGTCAAGCCTTAGTATTTAATGTGTGTCCCCTGTTGGGTTTCAGACTTACATGGGAACAGCTACCCCTTGTTTCCTGTTTCTCCCTTTTGAAATTAAAGTATCTAACCTGTGTCTGCCCCACCATTGTATTTTGGAAGCATATAACTTGTTTGATTTCATAGGTTCACAGCTGGAGAGCAGTTTGCCTCCGGATGAAATGCACATTTGAGTCTTACCCATATCTTATTTAGATTATAGTTAGATACAACTCTAGACCATAGGCTTTTGAATTGGTTGTAGAAATAGTTATGGCTTTGGGAGCCATCGGGAGGGAATGTATTTTGTTTGTGAGAAGTACATCAATTTTGGGGCCAGGGTGGAATGCTATGGTCTGAGTTATTTTTTATCTTCTTCACAATTTCATGTTGAAACTTAATCCCCAATTCCCAATCTGTAAATATTATGAGGTATGGCCTTTAGGAGGAGATTGGGTCACAAGAGGTCTGCCCTTATCAGTGGGTATGGTATTCTTATCAATGAGGTATCAAAAGGCCTTTCCTACAGAGTTCACTGCTTTTTTGCCCCTTCTGTCCCTTCTGCCATGTGGGGACACAGCGTTTGTCCCCTGTGCAGCAACAAGACCATCTTGGAAGCAGGGATCATCTGTCAGCAGACATTAGTCCTGCTGGCACCTTGATCTTCGATTTCCCAGACAGCAGAATCATGAGAAATACATTGCTATTGTTCATAAATTACTGTCTGTCTTATTTGGTTATAGCAGCACAGAGGGACTAGGACATACTGTAACTATAATTTAACTGTTTGTTTCTTTTTTTTCTTTTCTTTTTTTAAAGATGGGGTTTCACCGTGATGGCCAGGCTGGTCTTGAACTGCTGACCTCAGGTGATCCACCCACCGCAGCCTCCCAAAGTGCTAGGGTTACAGGTGTGAGCCACCACGTCCGGCTGTTTGTTTCTTTTGATTTAAGACTTATTCTCAGACATTTGGGTTCAGATGCTTGCTCTGCCATTTTCAGGTTGTTGACCTAGGTGACTTTTCAGTGTCTGTGCCAGAGTTGTCTTCTAGTAACATGGAAACAAATCTCTCTCTTGTAGGCTATTATGTTGTTATTTGAATTAGAACATGTAAAGCATTTGGAGAAATGCCCAGCACATGCAAAGTTTTCCAAAACTTCACTCATTGCTGTTGCTCTGGTCATCACAGTTTTTAGTTTCTGACCTTTCTTTAAAGCCGCTGCAGACATTGTCATCTCAAAGATACCACTCGCATACTAGCTTCTGGACACTCAGTTGATACATTGAACATAATATCTAACACTTATACAGATAGCCACATGTTCATTTCTTTGTATATTTCTTGTATTGTCCAAAATTTCTTGTATTGTCAAAAAAATGAGAAGCATACGCTGATTTAGAGGATATAATAATCTCCTATTGAATTTTATAACAAACTAAAATTAGGGATGCACAACTTTCTAACAGTTGCCTTGCATAGATACGTCAAAACACACACTTCAATCAAATTGATGTGACAGTTCTCTGTTCTCATTTTATGTAAAAATAAGAGCTCTCCCATTGCTGCTTGTTGCAATGTGTTTTACATTTCAGGGACCTTTGACATTCAGGGATGTGACCATAGAATTCTCTCACGAGGAGTGGAAATGCCTGGACCCTGCACAGAAAGCTTTGTACAAGGATGTGATGTTGGAGAACTACAGGAACCTGGTCTTCCTGGGTGAGGATAAGTTTTCTGTAGGAGTTCAGATCTGCCCTTGTGCTTTTTTGTATTTTCTCTGTAGTATTTCTTGGGAGCCCCTCCATTATTTAACTGAGACCAAAGCCTTGTTGATTAAAAAATACAAAGCTTCATAATGCTGCATCTGGCCTTTCACTGTCCCCTTTCTATAGATATTCTGCTGCTTTTTTTTTTTTTTTTGAGACAGAGTCTCTGTTGCCCAGGCTGGAGTACAGTGGTGCCATCCCAGCTCACTGCAACCTCTGCCTCCCGGGTTCACGTTATTCCCCTGCCTCAGCCTCCCAAAATGCCACCATTACAGGTGCATGCCACCTTGCCTAGCTAATTTTTGTATTTTTAGCAGAGATGAGTTTCACCATGTTGGCCAATATGGTCTCAAATTAGTGACCCCAGGTGATCTGCCTGCCTCAGCCTCCCAAAATTCTGGGATTACAGGCATGAGCCACCATGCCTGGCCTATGTTAAGATTTTTTTAAACAACTTAGTGCTGTTTGCTAGCTTAGAATATTGTGCATTTTATTGTAAAGACTCACAAATTTATTTGTTTAATAAGGTATATCACCATTGCTTCATGTTTATAATGAGATGGCAGCATATTGGCTTTACCTTAGTGTGGCCAGGTATAGCAGATACCATAGATAGGGTGTTTCTTTTTTTTTTTTTTTTAAGATGGGGTTTCACCATGATGGCCAGGCTGGCTTTGAACTCCTGGCCTCAGGTGATCCACCCACCTCAGCCTCCCAAAGTGCTAGGATTACAGGCGCGAGCCACCACGCCCGGCCAATAGGGTGGTTTAAACAACAGAAATTTGCTTTTCACAGATCCGGGTGATGAGCAGTCCAGATGTCAACACCAGGTTTTTGGTGTAGACCCTTTTCCTGGTGTACCATGGCTAACTCTTTCTGTGTCCTGACATGGCAGAAGGATTGCCATGCAAAAAGCAAAAGCTTTTTCACATCTCCTCTAATTCCATTCCTGAAATTCTACCCACCATGCTGACCTAATTGCCTCCCAAAGTTCACATCTCTGAGTAATATTACACTGAGGATTAGGTCCCCAACATATGAGCTTTGGCAGACATAAGTCAATATAGCTGACCTGCAATGCTTGTTAGTGTTGCAAATGTCTGTTTTTTATGGAAATAGATAGTTTTGTTTTGTTTTTTCCAAGATGGAGTCTTGCTCTGTTGCCCAGGCTGGAGTGCCATAGCCCGATCTTGACTCACTGCAACCTCTGCCTCTGGATTCAAGCAATTCTCCTGGCTCAGCCTCCTGAGTAGCTGGGATTACACGTGCACACCACCATGCCCAGCTAATTCTTGTATTTTTAGTGGAGATGGGGTTTCACCATGTTGACCAGGCTGGTCTTGAACTCCTGACCTTGTTATCCACCCACCTTGGACTCCCAAAATATTGGGATTACAGGCATGAGCCACCATGCCTGGCCAGAAATAGATAGTTTAACATGTTTAATATGTATGTGATAAGTATTCAGAAAAATAACTTACTTTTATAACTTCAAAATTTTTTTCTCATTTTCCCAGTATAATTTTTGATTTACAATTCTAGCTTGCCATTTACATAGATCATTAATTAGTTGAACTTGTTGATATTTAGCTGTAGTTTGGCATTTATTTGTGCACAATAAATATGAAGTAAATATATATATATAACTTTTCTATTATGAGAGAGCCATATGTTTGCTGCTAGTTGGTGTATGATTTAGGGTCATGTTGGAAAAATACTTGCTTTAGTGCTAATATATGTTTGCACAACATTAGTCTTTTGGTCATTGAATGTTTGAAACTAGGCTTCCTTAAAATTGATTTGAATTACATGTGATTACTCTTTCTTTACTAAATAATTCTACTCCTTTTTTATTTGTAAAAATAGAAGATCGCTGTGGTAAAGTTTGGTAATTGTCTAGTATAAATGTTACTTTTAGCACAGTATATTTTCAATATAAATATTTACAAATACTAGTTATTTAAAAAAACAAAAAACAAATGATACTAGTTATTTTTAAAACTCATGTTTGGCTTGGTCTGGTGGCTCACGTGTGTAATCCTAGAACTCTGGGAGGCCGAGGCAGGGGATCACAAGGTCAGGAGTTCGAGACCAGCCTGGCCAATATGGTGAAAGCCCATCTCTACTAAAAATATAAAAAAATTAGCCATGCATGGTGGCATGTGCCTGTAGTCCCAACCACTCAGGAGGCTGATGCAGAAGAATCACTTGAACCCAGAAGGCAGAGGTTGCAGTGAGCTGAGATCATGCTACCGCACTCCAGTCTAGGCAACAAAGTGAGACTTTTTCTCAAAAATCAATCAAACAAACAACAACAACAAAAACCCATGTTCATTATATTTTGTAGGTATAACTCCTAAATGTACGACCAAGGAATTACCACCAATAGGGAACAATAATACAGGAGAAAAATTCCGAACAGTGACGCTGGAAAGACATGAATGCTATGACATTGAAGATATTTACTTAAGGGAAATCCAGAAAAATCTACTGGACCTTGAATTTCAATGGAAACATGGTGAAATAAATTTTAAAGAAGTGCCAATGACCTATAAAAATAATCTTACTGGTAAAAGAGGTCATCATAGTCCAGAGAATGTAGAAAACAAATGTATTGAAAATCAGCTTCCATTAAGCTTTCAGTCACATCTGACTGAACTGCAGAAATTTCAAACTGAAGGGAAAGTTTATGAATGTAACCAAACTGAGAGAACAGTTAATAATGGTTCCTTAGTGTCACCACTTCAAATAATTCTTCCTCGTGTCCAAACCAACATTTCTAGGAAATATAGGAATGAGTTTTTGCAACTGTCATTACCTATCCAACTTGAGAAAACACACATTGGGGAAAAGCCTTATATATGTAATGAGTGTGGCAAAACGTTTAGAGTGTCTTCAAGTCTTATTAACCATCAGATGATACATACTACAGAGAAACCTTACAAATGTGATGAATGTGGCAAAGCCTTTCATCAGGGCTCACTACTAACCATACATCAGATAGCCCATACAAGGCGGAAACCATATCAATGTGATGTATGTGGCAAGATCTTCAGACAAAATTCAGATCTTGTAAATCACTGGAGAAGTCACACTGGAGAGAAACCATACAAATGTAATGAATGTGGCAAGTCCTTCAGCCAAAGTTACAACCTTACAATACATCAGAGAATTCACACTGGAGAGAAACCTTACAAATGTAATGAATGTGGGAAAACCTTCAAACAAGGCTCTTGCCTCACTACACATCAGATAATCCATACAGGAGAGAAACCATATCAGTGTGATATATGTGGCAAGGTCTTCAGGCAAAATTCAAATCTTGTAAATCACCAGAGAATCCACACTGGAGAGAAACCATACAAATGCAATGTATGTGGAAAGTCTTTTAGTCAAAGTTCCAACCTGGCAACTCATCAGACAGTTCATACTGGAAACAAACCTTACAAATGTAATGAATGTGGCAAAACCTTTAAACGGAGCTCAAGCCTCACTACACATCAGATAATCCATACAGGAGAGAAACCATATGCATGTGATATATGTGACAAGGTCTTCAGTCAACGTTCACAACTTGCAAGGCACCAGAGAAGTCATACTGGAGAGAAACCTTACAAATGCAATGAATGTGGCAAGGTCTTCAGTCAGCATTCACATCTTGCGGGGCATCGGAGAATTCATACTGGAGAGAAGCCTTACAAATGTGATAAATGTGGCAAAGCCTTTAAACAGGGTTCATTACTCACTAGACATAAGATAATTCATACCAAAGAGAAACGTTACCAATGCAATGAATGTGGAAAGGTCTTTAGTGAAAATTCATGCCTTGTAAGGCATTTAAGAATTCACACTGGGGAGCAACCTTACAAATGTAATGCGTGTGGCAAGGTCTTCAATTACAGTGGGAACCTTTCAATTCATAAGAGAATACATACAGGAGAGAAACCTTTCCAATGTAATGAATGTGGCATGGTCTTCAGGAATTACTCATGCCTAGCACGTCATCTAAGAATTCACACTGGGCAGAAACCTTACAAATGTAATGTGTGTGGCAAGGTCTTCAATGACAGTGGAAACCTTTCAAATCATAAGAGAATTCATACTGGAGAGAAGCCCTTTCAGTGTAATGAATGTGGCAAGGTCTTTAGTTACTACTCATGCCTAGCACGTCATCGGAAAATTCATACTGGAGAGAAACCTTACAAATGTAATGATTGTGGCAAAGTGTATACTCAGCGTTCAAGCCTCACTAAACATCTGATAATTCATACTGCAGAGAAATCTTACAATTGTAATGAGTTTGATGGGGCATTTATCCAAAGTTCAAAACTTGCAAAATATCACAGAAATCCTGCTGGAGAGAAACCACACAAATGTAGCCATTGTGGTAGAACTTTTAGTCATATAACAGGCCTGACATACCATCAGAGAAGACATACTGGAGAGATGCCATACAAATGTGCTGAATGTGGCCAGGTCTTTAATTCCACTTCGAACCTTGCAAGGCATCGGAGAATTCATACGGGGGAGAAACCTTACAAATGTAGTGAATGTGGTAAGGTCTTTCGTCATCAGTCAACACTAGTGCGTCATCGGAGTATTCATACCGGAGAGAAACCTTACACATGTAAAGAGTGTGGCAAAGCTTTTAGAGTGCGCTCAATTCTGGTTAATCATCAGAAAATGCATACTGGAGAGAAACCTTATAAATGTAATGAATGTGGTAAAGCTTTTATTGAAAGGTCAAAGCTGGTGTACCATCAAAGAAATCACACTGGAGAAAAGCCATACAAATGTATTGAATGTGGCAAGGCCTTTGGGCGGTTTTCTTGCCTCAGCAAACACCAAATAATTCATTCTGGAGAAAAACCTTATAAATGTAATGAGTGTGGCAAATCTTTTATTAGTCGGTCAGGCCTCACTAAGCATCAGACAAAACATATTGGAGAGAACCTTACAACTAAACTGAATGTGGCAAGGCCTTTAGATGCTCTCCTAACTTCTGGGTTCAAATAGTTCATACTTACTGATATAGCTTGTATAACTTTCACTTCTTTCTGAAATCTTGTGGAATTTCAATACCCCGAATTGGAGGTGGGGCCTGGTGGGAGATGACTGGATAACGGGTGGATTTCTCAAGAATGGTTTAGCATCACCCCCTTGGTGCTCTTCTCAGGATAGTGAGTTCTGGTGAGATATTGTTGTTTAAAAGTATATGGCAGGCCAGGCACAGTGGATCATCCCTGTAATCTGAGCATTTAGAGGGGGTCTAAGTGGGCAGGTCACTTGTGGCCAGGTGTTCAAGACCAGGCTGGTGAACATGGTAAAACCTTGTCTCTACTATAAACACAAAAATTAGCTGGGCATGGTGATGCATACCTGTAATCCTAGCTACTCAAGAGGCTGAGGCATGAGAATCACTTGAACCCAGGAGACAGAGGTTGCAGTGAGCCAAGATCTGCCACTGCACTCCAGCCTGGGTGACAGCAAGATGCTGTCTCAAAAAAAAAAGTGTAGGAACCTTCCTCTTGTTTGCTTCTCTTCTTGCCATGTGACATGTCCACTTCCCCTTAGCCGTCCACCATGATTTTAACATTCTTGAGGCTCCCCCAGAAGGTGAGCAGATGTCAGCACCATGTTTCCTGTATAGCCTGTAGAACTGTGAGTCAACTAAACTTCTTTATAAATTACCCAGCCTCAGGTATATCTTTATAGCAATTCAAATATAGCCTAATACATTTACACATGCAGTAAATGTAGCTAAGTTTTAAGCTAGTGTTCACTACTCACTTGGCATAAGAATATACATGTTGGAGAGAAATTACAGAAGTGTAATGTGTATGGCAAGAATTCCATTCAAAGATCAAAACTTGTGGATCGATAGATAATTCAAAGTGCAGAGATGCTTTACAATTGAAAAGAATGTGGCAAAACCTTTACCAGAGTTCAATCGCTATTGGACATAAGGGAGTTTATACTGAAAGGAGATCTATATGTATGTGCCAGAGACTTCCTCCAGGCATTGGAACTTACCAGACATCAGAATATACAACTTGGAGAAGAGCCACACAAATGTAATGTGTGTGGTAAGGCTTTTACCCGAACATCATCGAAATGGAAACCTGAGTATTCATACTGAAGAGTTACCTTACAAATGTAACAAATGTAGTAAGACTTTCTAACAAATCAGATGTTTGCTTTTGGAGTGTGAGAGAATTTATGTAGGAGAAAAATCCTATAAATGTGCTGAACATGTGCCCACCTCAGCCTCCCAAAGTGCTGGGATTACAGGTGTGAGCCACCACACCTGGCCAAAATTGTTTGCATTTTTAGTAAAGATGGGATTTCACGATGTTGGCCAGGCTGGTCTTGAACTCCTGACCTCAGGCGATCTGCCCACCTTGAACTCCCAAAGTGTTGGGATTACAGGCATGAGCCACCCCACCTGGCCAGCATCTGTCATTTCTCTGTACATTTTTTGCCACACAAATCTGAGAATGCCACCTTGAGATATGGATCCTGCAAGTTCTTCAATGGAAGAAATGTAAGTCCATAAATTGGGTTAAATGGTTTCTAGTTGCGTGTACAATGATAAAAAATTATTTTTAAAATGTAGTTTTGGCTGGGCTCTGTGGCTCATGCCTATATTCTTAGCACTTTGGGAGGTTGAGGTGGACAGATTGCCTGAGCCCAGAAGTTTGAGAACAGCCTAGGCAACATGATGAAACCTCATGTCTACTAAAAAAACAAAAACTGAGGTGAGAGGATCACTTGAGCCTGGGGAGGTGGAGGCTATGGTGAGCTGTGACAGCACCAGCACACTGCAGCCTGGGCAATACAGTGAGACCCCATCTCAAATAAAAAGTATGCTACAGCTGAGAAATCATGGAATACAATGTTTATTATGATAACTTCAAATATGCTTTGTTAGAGCCTTTGAAAAATGCATCTTTTATTAAATTATTTAATATTTGTTGACTGATATATATTTTATAGTACAGTTGTAAAAATATTATAGACAATTTGTCATAACAGTATTTCAGAAGCATTTTCAACAATTATGTTGTGTAAAGTGTCCTATGTATGCATGAAGAAAGGACATGTATAAAGTTTTTAACATGAAGAAAAATTGAGTCTCAACCTGGGTGTCATGAGTTTCAAGAGTAAACATTTCAGTGTTGAATTAAAGAGTCTGAATTCATTTTTCTTTTTTTCTCGAGACAGTGTCTGGTTCCATCACCAAAGCAGTAGCACAGTAACGCCATCTTGGCTCACTGAAACCTCCACCTCCGAGGCTCAAGCGATTTCCCACCTCAGCCTTCCAACTAGCTTGCACTACAGGTGCACACCATTACCATGGCTCATTTTTGGATTTTTTTGTAGAGATGGGTTTTGTCATGTTGCCAAGTTTGCTCTCGAACTCCTGGGTTCAAGCAATCTGCCCACCTCAGTATCTTTCAAAGTGCTGGGATTACAGGCGTAAGCCCCTGTACCCTGTCTTATTCCTTTGCTTGCTTAGTAAACTTGCTTTCACTTTACAATGTGAACTCACCCATAATTCTTTCTTGCACAAGATCCAAGAATCCTCCCTTTTGGTTGTAGCTACCTAACAGGTTCTCCTTGACCGCTGCCTAGACAGAACCAATTCATCAAGATAAAAGAGTTTAATTCACATGGAGCTGGCTATACAGGAACCTGAAATTTTATTATCATGCAAATTAGTCTCCCCGAAAACTCTGGGATCAGGGTTTTTGAGGATAATTTGATGGGTAGGGGTCAGTTGGGAATGCTGATTGGTTGCAAAGAAAATGAAATCATAGAGAGTTGAAGCTGTCCTTTTGCAATGAGTCAGTTCCTGGGCAGGGTCATGTAGGGTCCAGCCTTACAGGTCCTTGTGAGCCCTCTCTACAGGAGTGGAGGTGAAATATTGTAGAAATAAAAGACACAAGACACAGAGATAGAGCAAAGAAAGTTTGGGCCCAGGGGTCCACCGCTAACCAAAACACGGAGTCCTGCAGTGGCCGCGAGTGTCCGCACTCTCTTTTATTGAGTACAAAAGCTGGGGGCAGGGTAGGTAGGGCATGTCCTTGGTGATCCAAGACTAGGGGCAGGGTAAAAGAGGGTGTGGTAGTGATAGGGTCAAGTACATCACGTGTCATACAGGTAGGGGCTCGGGAATTTTCCGTAGCTGAGATGAGGTAAGGGGCACAATGCATCAACCTATTTTCCATACTTGTCACAAAGACATTAAGATTTACCTTACTTTTACTGATTAATTCTTACAAGAAAAAAGGAACCAGGTGCAGACGTGGATCATGAGACTGACGTGACCACTGAAGCACAGCATCACATTGAGACAATGAAGCCCCTGGATGTCTGCAGGCCTGACAGCGTCAGGCCTACCGCAAGAGCTTAGAGAAGTGGAGTTTTCTCTTAACTCCTCAGAGGAAAGAGACATCTCAGCTATTTTGGACATCTCCTTCCCTAGCTGGCTAAACAGCGGGTGCTTTCCCAGTGCTGGCGCTGCCGCACAGCCGAGGCACCCTCCAGCAGCCCTTATTCGGGCTTGACAGAGGCTTCAAGTGTCTTGCCTTAGGGTCATTCATATCACAGTGTCGCCCCAGGTTCACACTTTCGACCTGAGAGGCATTAGTGAAAGAATTAAGATCACCTATGAATAACTAATAACTACTGTGTTGTATTTCTAGTTACTTTTTTCTTCATTATTTATATGGATATAGGCTAAGGCTTTTGGCTTCTGCCTCCGCACTTATGGGGCTCCCCTCCTACAAGGTCACAAGACCAGAAGAGCCAGTTTATGGATCTGGGTTGGTGTCAGGTGATCCATCAAGTGTAGGGTCTGCAAAATATCTCAAGCACCGATCTTACGTTTTATAATGGTAATGTTATCCCCAGGAACAATTTACAAACAGTCAGAATCTTGTAGCCTCCAGCTACCTGATTCCTAAACCATAATCTCTCGTTTTGTACTTAATTTGTTAGTCTTACAAAGACAGTCTAGTCCCCAAGCAGGAAGGGGGTTTGTTTTGGGAAAGGGCTATTAATGTCTTTGTTTCAAACTATAAACTAAGTTCCTCCCAAAGTTAGTTCAGCTTATGCCCAGGAATGAACAAGGCAGCCTGGAGGTTAAAAGCAAGATGGAGGTGATTAGGTCAGAACTCTCTCACTGTAATAATTTTCTAAGTTCTCTGTCGGGCACGGTGGCTCAAGCCTGTAATCCCAGCACTTTGGGAGGCTGCAGTGGGTGGATCACGAGGTCAAGAGATCAAGACCATCCTGGTCAACATGGTGAAACCCCGTCTCTACTAAAAATACAAAACATTAGCTGGGCATGGTGGCGCATGCCTGTAATCCCAGCTGCTGGGGAGGCTGAGGCAGGAGAATTGCCTGAACCCAGGAGGTGGAGGTTGCAGTGAGCCGAGATCGCGCCATTGCACTCCAGCCTGGGTAACGAGAGTGAAACTCAGTCTCAAAAAAATAATAATAATAAAATAATAATAATTATTATTATTTTCTAATTTCTAATTGTGCAATGGCAGTCTCAGGTTCTGGATCAGGACCCCTTTCTGGTAACGTGAGGACAGTTAAGAGTGCATCCAGACATCCAAAAAGTTACCTCTGAGCGTCAGGGATTTCCTAACCCTATGGGTTCTTCCCTTACATGTCAACCCAAGGATTCACTGGGGACCCTAGAATTGCGGAGGCCAGTCTAGAAATATAAAGACAGGAGAGAGAAGAAGAGGTGAAGTGAGTTTTGAAGAAGAGAAAGAAGTTAGGTCCATGCTACCTCAGTTTTTTTTCCAACAAACTTTTCATGCTGGGAAATAGGATCCTGGTTTGTGGGAGGGATTTTATAGGAGGGTGAGAAAATGCCCTTTTAGGGTAGAGTCTGTAGAGCCCTAATTGGGGAAAAGGAGTCAGCCCAGAAGGACCAGGGGAAAGCAAAGAGATAAAGCAAATAAGCTTTAAATCATTCTTCATGGTCCAGGACAGATAAAGAAAATGGAGGAAGCAGATAAGTTGTAGATCTCTCGCTCTCTCTTTTTGAGGCAGAGTCTTGCTCTGTCGCCAGTCTGGGGTGCAGCAACGCAATCTCAGCTCACTGCAACGTCTGCCTCCCAGGTTCAAGCAATTCTCCTGCCTCACCCTCCTGAGTAGCTGGGACTACAGGCGTGCGCCACCTCGCCCAGATAATTCTTGTATTTTTAGTAGAGACTGGTTTCACTATGTTGGCCAGGATGGTCTCCATCTCTTGACCTCGTGATACGCCCGCCTAGCCTCCCAAAGTGTTGGGATTTACAGGCGTGAGCCACCGAGCCCGGCGGATCTCTTTTTCTTTATGGCCTAGGGCATATAGCCTTTCTGTGGAAATAATGTAAATAACTCACAAACTTTCTGCTTTCATTTATCATCAAACACCTCAGCTAACAGAAGAACGCAAGTTATCTCCCAGTTACCTTGGCCTCCCAAGTGTGAGGATTATAGGCATGAGCCACTGCACCCAGCTAAATCTCCTTTTCTCATAAGGAAGTCAGTCAGTGGGTTCAAAGCTTATTTTAACCTAATCACCTCTTTAAATGCCCTGTATTTAAATGCAGTCATATTCTGAGGTAGTGGGTGTTGGCACTGCAGGATATGGTTTTTTGGAAGCATGATTCTGCTCATTACACTCTGTGCGCTGGACTCCCAAAATTTATATCCTTCTTACATGCCAAGTCCCTTCACCCCATCCCACATGACTAACTCAGTTGATGCAGAGAAGGCCTTTGACAAAATTCAACAGCCCTTTATGGTAAAAACTTTTTTTTTTTGAGACGGAGTTTCACTCTTGTTACCCAGGCTGGAGTGCAATGGCGCGATCTCGGTTCACCACAACCTCCGCCTCCTGGGTTCAGGCAATTCTCCTGCCTCAACCTCCTGAGTAGCTGAGATTACAGGCACGCACCACCATGCCCAGCTAATGTTTTGTATTTTTAGTAGAGATGGGGTTTCACCATGTTGACCAGGATGGTCTCGATCTCTTGACCTCGTGATCCACCTGCCTCAGCCTCCCAAAGTGCTGGGATTACAGGATTGAGCCACCGCGCCCGGCTCTTTTCTGTTCTGAGAAAGCCATATGTTTACTGCCAGTTGGTGTGTAATTGGTGTCATTGGTCACAAAATACTTGTTTTAGTGCAAATGTATGTTTGCACAAGATGAGTCTTTGGTTGTAGGATGTTTCAAACGAGGCTTTCCTAAATTAATTTGAATTACATGTTGTCACCCTTTCTTTACTACAGAATTCTATTTGTTTTGTATTTTTAAAAATAGAAGATCATGGTGGAGAACTTTCACACCTGTCTAGTATAAACATTATGTTTAGTGTAGTATGGTTCCAATATAAAATATTTATCAATAATAGTTATTGAAAAAACCCATGTTCATTATATTTTGCAGGTATCTCTCCTAAATGTATGGTTAAGGAATTATCACCAACAAAGAACAGTAATACAAGAAAAGGATTCCAAACATTGACTCTGGAAAGACATCAAAGCTACAATCTTGAAAATGTATACTTCAGGGAAATACAGAAAAATCTACATGGACTTGAGGTTCAATGGAAAGATGGTGAAAGAAATTCATAAAGAAGTGCCAGTGCCCCATGAAAACAATATTGCTGGTAAAAGAGCTCAACATAGTCAAGATGATGTAGAAAACAAGCATACTGAAAACCAGCTTACAGCAAGCTTTCAGTCACGAGCCTTGCTGAACTGCGGAAAGTTCAAAGTGAGGGCAGAACTTATGAATGAGATCAAATGGAGAAGACAAGTAATAATGGTTGTTTAGTTTCTCCACACATTAGGGGAAAATCTTACATGTTTAATGAATGTGGCAAAACCTTTGGAGAGTCTTCCAGTCTTAGTACTCATCAGATGAGGCATACTACAGAGAAACCTTACAAATGCAATGAGTGTGGCAAAGCCTTTAAACGGAGCTCAAACCTCACTTTACATCAGGTAATCCATGGAGGAAGGAAACCACATAAATGTGACGTATGTGGCAAGGCATTCAGACACAGATCAAATCTTGGATGTCACCGGAGAATCCACAGTGAAGAGAAACAATACAAATGCAATGAATGTGGCAAGGTCTTCAGTAAATGTACAAGTCTTGCAGTGCATCGGGGAAGTCATACTATAAAGAAATCTTGCAAATGCAATGAATGTGGCAAGGTGTTCAGTAAATGTTCAAGTCTGACAATGCATCAGAGAAGTCATACTGGACAGAAACCTTACAAAGGCAATAAATGTGGTAAGGTCTACAGTAAGCATTCACATCTTTCGGTGCATTAGAAAATTCATACCGGAGAGAAACCTTACAAATGCAATGAATGTGGCAAGGTCTACAGTAAGCATTCACATCTTTCAATGCATGGAAAAATTCATACCGGAGAGAAAGCTTACAAATGCAATGAGTGTGGCAAGGACTTCAGGCTGCATTCACTTCATTCAGTGCATCGGCGAATTCATACTGGAGAGAGACCTTACAAATGCAAAGAATGTGGCAAGGTCTTCAGTCAATGTACATGTCTTACAGTCCATCAGAGAATTCATAGTGGAGAGAAGCCCTACAAATGCAATGAATGTGGCAAGGTCTACAGTCAATACTCACATCTTCTAGGGCATCGGAGAGTTCATGCTGGAGAGAAACCTTACAAATGTAATGAATGTGGCAAATCCTTTAATCAGGGCTCAACACTCAATAGACATCAGAGAATTCATACCGGAGAGAAACCTTACAAATGTAATCAGTGTGGAAATTCCTTTAGTCAACGTGTCCATCTTAGACTTCATGAGACAGTTCATACTGGAGACAGACCCTACAAATGTAATGAGTGTGGGAAAACTTTTACACGGAGCTCAAACGTCACTGCACATCAGATGATTCATGTAGGAAGGAAACCATATAAATGTGATGTGTGTGGCAAGGGATTCAGGCATACTTCACATCTTGTAAGTCACCAGAGAATCCACACTGGAGAGAAAAGATACAAATGTACTGAATGTGGCAAGGCCTTTGGACGGTTGTTTTCCCTCAACAAACACCAAAGAATTCATTCTGGCAAAAAAAAACCTTATAAATGTAATGAGTGTGGGAAATCCTTTATTTGTTGCTCAGGCCTCACTAAACATCAAATAAGACATACTGGAGAAAATCTTACAACTTAATAATGACAAGGCCTTAGACATTGTCCTAGCTTCTGGAATCACCGAATAATTCATACTTAATAATATAGCTTGTGCCGGGCGCGGTGGCTCAAGCCTGTAATCCCAGCACTTTGGGAGGCCGAGGCGGGTGGATCACGAGGTCAAGAGATCGAGACCATCCTGGTCAACACGGTGAAACCCCGTCTCTACTAAAAAATACAAAAAATTAGCTGGGCATGGTGGTGCGTGCTTGTAATCCCAGCGACTCAGGAGGCTGAGGCAGGAGAATTGCCTGAACCCAGGAGGCGGAGGTTGCGGTGAGCCGAGATCGTGCCATTGCACTCTAGCCTGGGTAACAAGAGCGAAACTCCGTCCCAAAAAAAATAATAATAATAATAATAATAATATAGCTTGTATATTTATCCCTTCCTTTGAAATCTCATGTGGAATTGTAATCTCCAGTATTGGAGGTGGGGTCCATTGGGAGGTGATTGGATCATGGAGGTGGATTTCTCCAGTTAAGAAAGATTCAGCATCATCATTGGATCTCAAGATTTAGCATCATCCTCTTGGTTGTGTCCTGGCAGTAGTGACTTCTCTTGAGGTCTGTATGTTTAAAAGTGTACAGCACTTCCCTGTTGCTTGCTCTCATTCTCACAATGTGAAATACCTACACCCTCTTTGCCTTCCACCATGATTTTAGCCTTCCTGAGGCTTCCCTAGAGGGTGACCAGATGCCAGCATTTTGTTTCCTGTTAAGCCTGCAGAAGTGTGAGCCAATTAAACCTCTTTTCTTTATACATCGGTCAACCTCAGGTATTTTTTTCTAACAATGCAATTGTGACCTAACGCCTTTACACATGCAGTGAATATACCTATGTTGTAAGCTAGTGTTCACTACTCACTAGGTGTAGGAATATACATCCTGGAGATAAATCACAGAAGTATAATATGTGTGGCAAGAATTCCCAAAAGCCAAAACTTATGAATCTATAGATAATTCAAAAGTCATAGATGTACCAATGAAATGAGGGTGGGAAAACCTTTACTGGAGTTCAATCACTACTTGTCATAAGAGAGTTTATACTGAAAGGAAATCACATAAATGTATGTGTCAGAGGCTTTCCCCAAGTATCAGAACTCACTGGACATCAGAATATCCATCTTTGAGAGGAACCAAAGAAATGTAATGTGCATGCTAAGGCTTCTACATGAACATCAAAATGGAAACAGAGTATTCCTACTAGAGGGCAGCCTTACAAATGTAACAAATGTGGTAAGGCTTTTTAAAAAATCAAATGTTCAGAGACCTGGAATCAACCAGATTGCCCATCAGTGATAGACTGGATAAAGAAAATGTGGTACATATACACCATGGGATACTATGCGGCCATAGAAAGGAATGAGATCATATTCACTGTAGGGACATGGATGGAACTGGAAGCCATTATCCCCAGAACTAACAAAGGAACAGAAAACCAAACACCATATTTTCTCACTTACAAGTAGAAGATGAACAATGAGAATACATGGGCCCAGGGAAAGGAGCAACACACATTGGGGCCTGCTGATGGGAGTGGCGGGTTGGGGAAGGGGAGCATCAGGAAAAAATAGCTAATGCATTTTTGCCTTGATACCTAGGTGATGGGTTGGTAGGTGCAGTAAACCACAGTGGTACACAGTTTCCTATGTGACAAACCTGCAATGTGTGCACATGTACCCCAGAACTTAAAGTGACACAAAACAAATGCCCACACCTTTGTAGTTTGATTGAACATATAAAGGAGAAACACCTACAAATGTGCTGAACATGAAAGGGCCTTTAAGCAGTAGTGTGTCTTCAGGCTTTGCCAAATTATTCCTACTTGAGAGAAACCTTCGAAATGTAATCAATGTGGTAGAAATTTCAACCAGTTCTTTCAACAGACTACACATCCTTGAAATCATATTAGGGACAACCAAGTCTGCTTCTCCAAACTGGCCTGGAATATTAACTACAGAATAACTGCAAGACAAAATTTGTTAAAACTCAGGACAGTATTTTAAAGGAACAAGTGCATGTGTGGAAATGGCTCATTCAGTTTATAAAATATCGTATTAAATTTAAGGGATTTTGCTGTTGTTGTTTTTGTGTGTGTCTTGACCAGGAGTCTCATTTGGTTGCCCAAGCTGGGCAATAGCGTGATCTTGGCCCACTGCAACATCTACCTCCTGGGTTCAAGCGATTCTCCTGCCTCAGCTTCCCAAGTAGCTAGGATTACAGGTATCTATCACCATGCCTGGCTAATTTTTATATTTTTAGTAGAGACGGGGTTTCACCATGCTGGCCAGGCTTGTCTTGCACTCCCAACTTCAGGCCATTCCCCCGTGTTGGCCTCCCAAAGTGCCAGGATTAGAGGCATTAGCCACCATATCCAGCATAAAACGTGTTTTTTTTTTTTTCTTTTGTGACAGTCTTGCTCTGTTCCCCATGTTATAGTGTAGTAGCTACGATGTCCCTATATGTTCCTCTATATGTGTGTGTGTGTGTGTGTGTGTGTATACGTCTTTTGATGAGAGCCATCTCTTAATTTAATATGGTCCATTGTGTCATTTAACCCACATGATGAATGCATTTTGTGCTGCTTGAGACAAATTTTGTTATTGTAAGAACACAAGTATATTTATTTTGTTATTCTAAACATTTTATTAGTTATCACTAAAATTTAGATCTACAATCAAAGAATTTATTTTGTATAATGTGGGTAGTAATTGAGCTTGTCTCTTTTTCTCCATATGACTAGCAAATATCAGTTTATTCTGAAGATGTTGGATTATGTTATCTTTCCATTTGATGTCACTTGTCATTGCTTCCCCCATGTCAATTACCACTTCGTTCTTAGTGCTGACTTCCTTGAAATACCCTACAAATACACCCAAATTCTCTGGATCTCTACATGTGCCTTAATGTCTTCGGCAATCTCACAAAAGCACACAATTAAAATTATTGTGTCAACATTCTTCAGTGAAGCTTCTGGCTCATAGGAATATTTGTTGCTCTAATTTGGAGGGAAATGTACTGAATGATGGAACAGTCTCCAGGCATGTGATCATGGGGATAATTTTATCACAGACTACAGTTGGAATCCTGGGCAATTTTTCTCTTCTTTACCGTTACCTCTTTCTTTCTCGCACAAGATGCAACTTCTTTTCTATTTCCACAGCAAGAGCAGAGGAGTGTCCATTGGCACCAGCTGCCTCTTGAGTGTTTTCCAGACCATCGTGATCAGCCCCATGAACTCCAGGTGGAAGAATCTTAAAGCAGCCCCAAAGCACATTGGTTACTCCACTGCCTTCTGCTGGATCCCGTACATGGTAGTAAATTGCATTTTTCCTATGTATGCATTTGTCAAATATGACAACAACAACATCACAAATAAAACAGATTTTGGATACTGTTCTACTCTAGGTCATGATGAAATCATAGCCTCACTATATGCAGCACTATTTGTATTACCTGAAGTTTTATTTTCTGTGCTCATAATCTTGTCCAGTGGCTCCATGATTTTCATTCTGTACAAGTACAAGGAGTGGGTCCAACACATTCACAGAAATAATGTTTCCTTCAGATCATCCCATGAGTCCAGAGCCACCCAGAGCATCCTTGTCCTGGTGGGCACCTTTGTGTCTTTTCCATCCTCTCCTCTATCTTTCATGCTTGTATTGCTCTATTTCATAATCCAAGTTGGTGGCTGGTGAACACAGCTGCTGTCATTTCTGTGGGTTTTCCAACTGTCAGCCCCTTTGTGCTCATGAGTGGTGACTCCACTGTAACTAGATTGTGCTTCCTCTGGGTGAGGAACACAAAATCTCCTAATCTTATTAGAAATATGAAAACTATGTTTTAGCACATTGATCAGTTGTTTTTTTTCTCATTGCCCTTGATATGTCAATACAGACACATCGAAAAGCCAAATATCTAAGATAAACCTTAAATGGTATTGGGATTTTCAGCCCGTTATTCATGGGACACATATGGGCACGGCAAAAGTGAATGAAGCAAGTTGCCAACATTCTGATGCATAGCCTCATGCTGATAGTAGTCCTAATGAAATGTTTCTTAAGGCAAATTAAACAGATTTGGTTCCAGCTTGTTTGTCAGGTTAATGAAACCTTGATCAAATGCTGTACTTATGGCAGGAGTGATCACAGTGAAGAAACGGATGGTGGGTATTGTTGGAAGCCAAATCTCCATGGTTTTCTCATCTATGAACATCTCTAATGGATGGAGAAATGAACAGCATTGGTCCTGACCTGTGTTTTTTTGAAATATTTGTGTAAAAAATATCCTTGGAAAACAGTGATAGTCTCACCCTCTGGATCACTGGACAGACTGGTTTCCTGTACACCAAAATAAAGATAATGTTCCCCTCCTGAACAAATGGTGGGACAGGTTTGGTAGCAGCTCACTTAAATTATTAAATTTTTCTACACTCCAGGTTCCTCAGCCTTGATATAAATCCACTGCACGTGCAGCTTTCACTAGGTCCTCTCTGCATCTTTCCCACTGGAACTGGGTTGGGGAGGGAGCAACTGAAACTACAACAGGATGTTCATACGTCCTGCTGTGCTAAGGACAATAAAGTTCTCTGCATTCTTAAAAAAGACTGTATGTATTTTTAAAGTATTTTTTGGTTCACAGGCAAACTGAGTCAAAGATACAGTGATTTCTCCTACTCTTCTACCTTGACAAATGCACAGCCTCCATTTTATCAAAGTCTCACTCCAGAGTGGTATATTTGTTATACTTGATGAAAGTATATTGACACATCATTTTCACCCAATCTCAGAGTTTAATTTTAAGGCTCACCCTTAGTGGTAAATAGTCTATAAGTTTTGATAAATGTACATGGACATATATTCATCATTATTCTGTCATATATAGTGGTTTCCCCACCCTAAAAATCTTCTGTGTCTCACCTATTCTTCCTTCCCTCCCCCAAAAAGCTGGAAATCACTGATCTGTCTTCTGTCTCCATAGTTTTGCCCTTTTCAAAATG